TTATCTACTCACATGAGTTTTCGAACTGTTGGGTTTACAGGAACTGGGGAGGAAACAGGAAACTCACCTTGCCAGCATTTCTGGCCGGCAACTTTCAGCGTCATTAAGCAATATTGCTGCTTCAAATGTAGCCTAGGAGTGCTTTTAAAATGTGAGGGATAGTGAAATTACAGTGAAAATACACTGAATTTCAAGATTAAGACTTGTTGCAAAAATAGCACCCAGTAAATACCACTTTATTTACTTGGTTGTCAAGCGGGAGAATCCCTGCTATTTGAAAGGGAAATCAAGCAGAATAGTAAACAATCTTATTATGCCTCTTTCAGATTGTAAACATCCAATGTTTGCCTAGAATTAGAACAATAAATTTGCATGATCTGCCACCAGGAAATAACAAATTACATGGGGAGAAAAAAAAAACCTTTCCCCATGACAACTATGCAACCCCCTCCCCCAAGAAGGGAAGGGAAGGGAAGGGAAGGGAAGGGAAGGGAAGGGAAGGGAAGGGAAGGGAAGGGAAGGATGTACAAATATTTGATTGTAATGGTTAAAAGAGAGACAAAGTAACAAAAAGTTAACAAAGAATGGGAAAGAACAGTATGGTAAAAAACATACAAACCTCTTTTTCTTCTTCCTGATTTATCTCTTGTCCATCTCCCACACGACTCCCATGTCTACCTAATTTTCCAGTGTTATTTATTATTTCTCCTTTCATTTTCTGCATTCTGCCAAGCTTCTCTTTCTATTTACAAGCCTCCTTTTCACTCATCTTTCTTATCTTTGTTCTTTTTCCCTGTATATTTCTCAGTCCTCTCCATATGTGGAGGAAGAGTGTCTCACACACTCATCAGAGAGAGAGGTACAGCTGCAGTACAATATTGTAGTTATGTGTCAGTAATACTAAAGGATCCGACTGACCTCATGGAACAGCTTAATAAGTGATCCCATACTGTGGGACTTCTATTAATGTTATACTAAATGGTAACAGTCTGATAATTGGAAACATTCTCTTGCGCCAAAGGCTGCTGCATTAAGATAACGCTTCAGCTATTGGAATTCCAAGGGAAGAGTGAAATGTATAAATCATTTTGCAGAAGACATACTGTTTAAAGAAATACTATATTTAGCACTTCAGTACAGAATATCAGAATGAAACACATTAAAAAACTGCAGAGACCGTTCCCTATGTCTAATAAAGTAGATCAGATACTCTGTGAACTGCACATTGAAAGGAATAAGTACTACCTGAAGCAAGTTTGGAATCACAAGAAATTATTAAATTTGTATCTGTCTTGAATGTGTATTTTTCTTAACCCAAGGGGGAAAAATCTGTTATTTCATCCTGCTGGTCCCTTATTTGTTTTTTCTTTTTACTGATCTTTAAATTAAGTAGCCTTGCTGGTCAGGTTGCTGAACAAAGGGGCTGCTAATGGAATGTGAAATTCAAGCAAAGGATATTTCATGAACAAACCATATTCGCACAAAGGACACATCAAAACCCTGGTATCAACATGAAAACAGCACGTGTCTTTTCTGACATAAGAACCATATTCTGTCATTAGGATTTACCTTTTCTATGTCTTCATAGTTCTCATTCTGCCCATTTTCGTAAAGCCTGGCATATAATCTCCAGATTTCTCCATCACTTGTCACTCGAGAAGTCACTCTGCCAAAGAGCTCCTGCAGTTTTCCCTTTAATCCTTTTGCTGTCTCTCCATTACAGTCACCTACTCCATCCATCACTACTTTTACCAGAATCTTAAGCACCTTAGAGAGAAGGAAGTTGTTAGTTATAATTTAACTCCCATAAAGCTGAGTGGATTTTCCAAAGTGCTTACTAACATATGGTTCAATTGATCAGAGCTGGAATCAATAACCTGAATGAATGAATGAATGAACGAATGAATTTATTAAAATAGTAATGTGTTTGAAGATGCCACAAGATGCCTAAATTGCATAACAGCATTATCTAATAATTAAGTTGCTTGATGAATACAGGTAACAATCTAATTATGAAACAAAGCAACTAATTCCTTAGCTGCTGTATTTAACAATATTTAACAATATTTAAGGTATTTCTCATTCTTCCAGGGATACCAACAATCAGCAACAGAAGTCTGAGTTCCACATGTCTCTTTAAAGTAATATCACCATCACAAAAAATCAAATTATATGATAGCAGAATCGCTCCTCCCCTCGACTTTCTGACATAGTACTGCAGAATTACTTCTGTGATATTAGGATCCTCCCCACACACATATTTTTGCCTTTGCACTAAAAAAAGCTTCCAGGCATGAGTTGTGTTACAACAGTCCCTCCCAGTCTGCCATTCTAGCTATATTAGAATACAACTCACACCATTCCCAGCTGGGCTAGGTTGGGAAGTTTCTGCTATAGTCAAGTAGAAAGCTTCATATCTAGCAAATATCTTTGCTGATCTTTGGGTATAATATTAAAACTACAGTGGTTGCTCTGTTTTTATAGCCAAATGATGCCAGGCTATTAGCATTGCTGTAGTAGCTTCTAATCTTTCTTATTTCCATGACTGAAGGTGATTATCCTGAACTTTGACTCTTGCCCAAAATCCTAAAGAAGAGATTGAGCAAACTGCACCCAGTAAAACTCTCGACAAACAACACAAGTTACCTGCAGTAATTAAAGACTGCTGCCTGCTGTGTTTTTCCTTTCTTCTGTAATGTTCAAAAATGTATTTTAATTTGGGATTATCAACTATATCTATTCATCATCTGAAAGTGCAGCTAAGTGAATGCAACATAACAAATCATATGTGGAAGAGGAGAGACCTCTTTTAGGTCACAGAAAAGGAAGTTGCATTTTTTAAAAAATCTGAATCTGAATCTAGACAGACAGACAGACAGACAGACAGATTCTTTCCCATGTTTGAAGCCTCAGTGTGTCTTAATGACCATAAAGGATGAAACCTGTGATGGATATTCAAATCTGGCAGTAGTCACATAATACCATAATATTCCTGAATGCATGCTGAATGCTGAAGTATCTATTCATGTTGTCCAAGCTTTCAGTTTAGAACATTATTTTAAGGAAAGAAATACCAATTGACAGCTTATGAGAAGCATTAGGCTTCCAGATAATTGTATTCTCTTTCTCATCATCATTTAATGTACAAAGGAGGAAGTCTAAACAATCTTGGCTGCTTCTTCCAATTGGTATAAGAAAGGATAAACTTTATTCTTTGATTCATGTTTTCCTTTACTCTAAGTGGACATAATGGTTTAGAGGCACTTTCTTTCTTGCTGAAACTGGCTATTATAAGAAAGCCTAGGCAACCTTGTCTTTTCTGAAGATTTGGACTACAACTCCTATAAATGGCTACCCATTGGCCAAGCTCACCAGGGTTTCTGACAGTTATATACTAAAACATATGAGGGCACCAGGTTGCCTATCACTCATATAAGACCATAGGCTGCCACTGCAGAAGTGGGTGGGCTAGACTAGACTTAATATGAAAGTCCTTTTTATTACAATGGAAACAAAGATTCTGAAGTGGGCATGTGGCTCCCACACACACCAGAGACAAGGCTGGAAAATCTGATGTTGATTCCTGTGGGAGGAGATAACTGTCTTCACCAGCTTCAGAATGACAAGCCAAACAACAGCTCAGAGAAATAAAAAATGAGGAGACAGGAATGCAGGAGAGACAGATTAGGCTCCATAAAAGTTGTGAATATTAGAGGGACTCCAATATGTATCTTTTCATTTTTCCCACCTCGATGCCTTGGTGAACTGAAAGCCCTGCCTCTGCCACAGAAAAAGGACCTTTACAATAAGTCTTCCTACAGCAGAGCCAGGGCCTTCTGAAGTGGAATATGCCAGAACTGCCTTTGCTGGGAGCTACTTTCTGCCAGAGTTGATGTTACAAAAGAGGACAGGAAGAATCACATGGAAGCCCCAGAGATGCTTTCAAGGGAGGCATCAATGCCAAGGACAGCCAGGATAGCTGTGCTTCTAGTGGAGTGATCTGCTATATTCTCTAAGGCAGTTTCAGTTCTCAAACATTTTGGTCTCAGAACTTCTTTGCATTCTTAAAAATGAATGAGGACCCCAAAGAGCTTTGGTTTATGTGGTATTGATAAGTACTACATTAGAAACTAAAACTGAGAAATGCTAAAATATTTATTTGACTTTGCAGACCCCCTGAAAGGGACTCAGCGGTCCCCAGACCACACTTTGAAAACCGCTGCTCTAAGGGGCAAGCTCATTCTGAGCTTTTCAGGCAAATTTGATGCACGGCTTGATAGGGGAGGGCTTGTGGCCTAGCCATAGGCATAGAAAAGAAATTAAGACACTGCCCAAGATGCTGAATTCCTCTATTCTGTTCAGGCAGATCATGATGGCTCATCTAATATCCAAGTTGTGTCTATCTCAAATTTGGATTTAAAGTTGGGGCAGACATGAAGATTGGGTCTAGGTGCAGAGCTATGATGTCTGGCTGGATGATGCAGAACTCTATGGGGAAAACCTCTGCCATTAGCAGACCAATAAGAGGATCCATGAGGTGGTGACTCTGGACCTTTCAAGCCCAGTATCCTGCACGCTTTCCTGTGTGACAAGCAGGATACTGGATATCTCTACCCCCTGTGAAGTGGCTGCAGAGAGAGATTCTTGGTGTGGGGGAGGAGGATGGAAGCTGATGTGTTTCTTCCCTTGTTTCACCCTGAGGTTTATCATGACCACAAAGCCCAACTGGGACTTCCTGCTTTTCCAATTCTTCCTGAGGTAATTGATTATAGGTGTGTTCCTGCACTGTCAGAGCTGTAGCCTGTTTAGGAGCCTCACGGCCTTTTCCTGGGGTCACTGGGGAACAGGAGATAACTGGAATTTAGGAGGAGATATTACCTGGCAAAGCCAATATAGAAGCTGGAATGCTATCGATCCATTAGTGAATGGTGGTGGGAGGACTGAGTGCTGGCTTTGCTGACTTCCATCCCTCCAATGCCTGTGCAATCCTTCTAATGGAACAGTGAGACACACATGTCTCAGCTGCTGTCAGAGGCATGAAGTTCACACCTGGCTATTCAGGAGCCACTGCACTGGCTTGCCTCTTCAGGGGATCATGGCAGAGAGGGAAAAGTGCATGATGCTGCAAAGTTAGAAGCCGAGGACCTTATTTGCCACCCTCTCTGAGTTGAAAGCTCAGAGGAGTTCCTGGGTAGCAGGCTCCTGTTTATTAATTTTCAGGCCACTGGGCTGAAGACTCCCCAAAGAAGGCAAATGCCAAGAAAAGTAAAATGAAAGTAGAAGAAAAAAGGAAATTCTGCAATTGAGGTGGTTAGTGGAGCTCACAAAGGTATGTGCTTTCTGGAGCAAAGCAAGGCTAAACTGGGTAAGGCTGCTACTTCCTCCCACCAGAACTGACATCTGAAGACCTGCCTCTGCTGCAGGAGAGAGGTATCCACTCCAGAACGCCCTGCTTCTGCTGTAGAAAAGTATAGTTTTTACTAGGTCTTGATATGGCTTGAAAGTTACAGCAGCACAAAGAATTATACTTTTGAATTTCTTTCTATGGAATTCTAAAATTCTAAAACAGGCAACAACTTAAGATACTTAAAGTTAATATTTTTTGTCATGAGCCACATCTGAAATTTAAAATTAGACATGTGAATAAAAAAGACGGGCATCCCACCTGGACATCTTTATACTTTTCTTGCAAGTCCATAAGCCTGTGATAAGCTTTAATGGCTTCTGAAAATTCTCCAATATCTGTACTGGTTAGAATGTAATTTTCCCAAATTTGCCAATGCTCATAATTACACTTGAGAGCTTCCTGGAGAGTCCGAAATGCTTTGATTCTGGTTTAAAAAAAAAAGAAACATTAATTATAAAATGGGCACACATTGTTTTTCCATTAAAGGCTTCTCCATTTGCTTGTTTAGAATCTTTATGTTTTCATGCTATATTGAAAAGAAAAGAGGTGGAAGAAACTCCTGCCTTTGCCGCAAAGGCATCACTTACTTTGGGGGGCCTCTTTACATATGATTTTATATATAATCACGGTGATGTGGGAGATTCTTCCTCTAATGGGATCCAACAGAGTTGATGAAGCATATGGACAAAATTATTTAGATGACTCATAAAGAAGGTGTCCACTGGATGATGAAGACAGAATAATTGGCCTCCCTCATGTGGCTGGATCATTCATATCAGAAAGAACAGGTGACCCATATCTGCCTTTAGCTATGACAGTTCTAACACATTCAGAGGAAAACAGCCTGATACCAAATTTATCCTTTGTCAATTGGAAGGACATTGAAGAAAAATGGAAACCAGACTTCCAGCCCAAAAGAGAGGACCATCTCAGCATATTGTATAATGTGGGAGAGAAAAAGGCCCAAAAACATGAACATTGATTTCACTATAGAGAGGATTCACTTTTGATACACAGTAGTCACTGGAATTCTTTCATAATGGCTTAAACTCTTCTAAAATGAATTACTTATCAGAAGTTCCTGGATTATTGTGTGCCTATTTAATTTGTTTCCCTCAACTTTGTGAAGAAAAACCCAGTAGCAGAGCCTAAATCCCTTCTTGCTGTCTTAAAGTCCTCAAAAGTCTTAATAAGGGAAAAGGCTTACACACTGATCCACCCCTGCCAAAAAGGAAACCAACCAACCAAATATACAGACAAAACCAGAACAAATATTCTTTTAAATCATGACATCCCAGAATTTGAGACTGAGAGAGAGCCAGTTTGGTGTAGTGATTATGGTGCTGGCCTAGAAACCAGGGAACTGTGAGTTCTAGGCCTCCCTTAGGCACAAAAGCTGGCTGGATGACTTTGGGCCAGTCACTCTCTCTCAACCCAACACACCTCACAGGGTTGTTGTTGTGGGGAAAAGAGGAGGCAGGAGTGTTAGGTATGTTTGCCGCCTTGACTTGACCAAAGATTTTTTTTTTTAAAAAAAGGCAGGATAAAAACATCATAACACCACCACCATGAATAATAATAATAGTAGTAGTAGTAGTTTTTTTGGAATAAATTGCCAATAAGTCATGGTCTCGTGGCATCTGAAAATCTGGAGCTGTAGCCAATGAATCTTTATAATAGCAACTGAGCTGAATATCAGATGCTCTGCGGTCGTATTCTCAAAGATTATTACAACTGGTTTGGACTGAGCAAATAGAGTCATTGTTTCAAAAGTGTCTAATGCCCACTACTAAAGAGGCAATTAGCTGGAAAAGTTTCTTCAGGCTATTTCTACATTAACATTGAAAGTTGCTGAAAAGGACATCTGTTTGAAGAGGACACTTGAGCATCTTGGAATCTCTTTGCATCCATTTTCTATTCCTTGCAATCTCTGAGGCAACTGCATCTTTCAGTCTGCTTATTCCATAAATATGTCTAAAGACCTCTTGAACTTATTTATGTCTTTTGGTTCAATGCACCCTCTTAGCAATTTGTTTCCTGTGTACACAACTTTGTATGCTCCCCATTGGTTTTCTCATTTTCAGTTTCTTTTGAGAAAGCAGATAAATTGTTTTTCATGGTGTTAAAAAACAAAACAAAACAAGCAGATAAAAATACCCTTCAGCTTCTCCCTTTATTTTCTGAAGATGCATTCCTTTAAACAGAAGATTAATGGGACACAGTCTAAGCAACAAAAAATTATCTTGACAAGGTACTTATGATTCTGAATAACTGAAAGCTGGTTTATCAAGAAGGTATCCAACCCAGTCACTGTTACATAAATGAAACAACCATACAGAATTAAGATACCAAGGCTGCTCACAAGATTTATGAAAGGTACATTTCTAGGAAAATGAAAAGATAACTTAATACTGAACTGCCAGTTTTCACAATAAATACTGGAAGAACAGTGCAGTACAAATCATTAGCCATATCACCTGTTTAAAATAAGATACATTCAGATTTAGGGGCAGGATTCCAGTTTAAATAAGAATGGTGCTATGCATTTAAATATCAGTAGTCACTTTCTCTTGCCAGCTGCATGATATCTAAACTATTTCATGACAAAAATAGGAACTTGAAGTACTCATAAAACCTCAACAGCAAATAGTCATATTAATCAGCTAACACAAATTGTAATGATAATGTTGTTGTACAATACAACTGGAAGAGAGGAAAGCTCACTGGATTGGAACAGCATTTCTCAACCTGTGGTTCTCAAGATGTGCTGATACTACAAAATATCCAGGATTTCCATCCAGTACTTCCAAATTGGTTCTGGGTGGGAACCCCAGTGCAACAAATCTGGAAGACCCTATATTGGGTACATTCCTGAATGCGGGTGCTTCTACAAAGAATACTTGGCCTCCTGGCCCTTATGTATATATATAAAAAAGAGATGCAGAGCACATATAGCCCTCCCTCCGCCAGCTTCACTGTGAACCTGAACTCTTAATTCATTGTGCAATAAATTTTGTACTGTAACATTTGTGGGTGTGGTGAGATCTAAAAAGCTGCTTTTCTTTCCAAAAGTTTTTTCATGATATAATCTCTGACATTCTAATGATATTTATAATGGGAGGCCAAATGGGAGAGCTTCGACTTGTGGTGGTGATAAAGAGGATCCTGAAGGCAGTACGTTCAGAAGCTGAATGTTATTCCGGAAAGGCCAGAGTGAGAGGAAACCAGGCCTGTTTACTTTGGAAAGAAGAATTACAAATCCCCTTTGATGCACTTACTTCTGTTTTAATCTGATATATGCGGTAGATAGATTGTTCCAAGCCTCCGCATTCTGCAGTCAAAATACACACAAAAGCATTAGCATTAAACTGCCATGGAAGGGATAAATTTTTAAATACAAATACATAAACACACTTTTCTCCACAAACAATGCTGTGTTAATAGCTGATATTCATACAAACCCAAGTACTGAATTTATACCATCTGTCAATATGCACAATCCAACGATTTATAAGAGGAGAGTTTCAGGCATGTACCACTGACACCTGTTAGGATATGCAAAGTTCTAATACTCTGAAACAGTTTCTGACGCAAGCAAAAGATGCTGATGGAAGAACAACAGATCAACAGAAATAATGGCATAATGAATGGAAATATGGCCATAGTATGCTTTATCGCCTTTTCTCAAAGAACGATCTTTGGGAAGTTTTTGTACAGGAAAGACCTGGTAATGTCTTGCAAAATGAGGGGAAAGACTATTACCTATGGAGTAATGGCACAATATCATATTCCTTATTTAGAAAGAAAAAAAATCATTTAAAATCAAGGAACAGCAAGTTTTTCAACTGGTGGGCACCATCATGCAATTTCTAGAACACCATAGGCACCAAAATATAAAAATTAAAAAAAGTTATGTATTTTTTAAGTATGTTTTTCAGTTTTAATGGACAAAATCCCATGTGAGAACATAGAAATCTTTCAGGTTTTGACTATCTTGCGAGGATTTGGCATTTCTAAAATTGTGCACTTGTGTCCATTGCATACGTGTACATGTATAACTGGTGGGATGTTGTACATACATTGTATATGCACATACATGTGCACATACTTAGGGCACCGATAACACACTCTGTAACACATGTGCACTATGCAGGTGGGTAGGTGCAGTGAGACAAGAGAACTCAACTGACATCTGTAACAATTCCTCCATGGCTATAACTGCTGCTTTTTTTCTGCAATGAGCCTTTTTCTGACTGTCAAATGTAAACTCATAGAGAAATCCACCAATCCCACTTGTTCCATAAAATGTGGAAAAGGATAAGAAAAGGATATTTGCTCAAAGCACACCAGAGTGCTGCTTTTCCTTCATTTACTTACATCAGGTTCCAACATCACACAGCGTTGAAATGCTCGGGAAGCACCTTCATAATCTTCCAGTGCTAAGTAGGCACAGCCTAAGGAAAACCACACTCCCAACTGAAAGAAAAATAAAATAAAATGGATAAAATGTATCTACACAATTTTGGTGAAGACCTAGTTATGCTCTGTCAGCTGTACTTTCAGGTAACTGGGGGAAAGTTACTGAAAACAGCCTTTCCCAACCTAATATCCCCCTGCCTCGTACACAGAACTACAAGATAGCTAGGGCCATATTGGCTGAGAATTCCGGGAGTGAAATGGGGAAGACTAAGAAACTATAGGATAACAGTGGCAGCTAAAGCTTGACAGATAAACCTAGTAGGGACATGTTCCAAAGAGGGCACTGGATACCATTCCCATTCCCCCACTCCTCCCAGTTCATTACTCTGATACTGAAACTCAAGAACCAGTGATTTGGTAAACTTCAACTGGCTCTAGGAGTTTTAAGTTTTGTTTTCTCTTCATCATCAACAGCGGCAAACCTTCTATACAGGCAGGACCAGGCTAATCTTGTCTGGGCTCACAAGTTAGGTAGGACAGAAGCTGATGAGGAGGAATTCTCTGATTTTCATGACAGAGAAAGTCATCTGTAAACAAGGGATGGATGGCAAGGCTAGGAAATCAGCAGCTACACAACCATGGAATTAAAAAGGTGGGAGGAAGAGGCCCAGCATTTAAACCTGGGGGCAGGCAGGATTCCAGATGCTCTTCAATGGAGAATTTCCCTAATTCTCTACAATAAACCTACTTATCTTACTTTGTTGTGTCTGCTTGGGAATGCGGAGTAGCAAGAAACTTTATTGCTATACTTGGTCCAAAGCCCTGACAGTTGGGCCGGTTACTACTTGGATGGGTAACTCAAGGAATACTAGGGCTATAGGCTAGACTGAGAAGTGAAAAAACATCCCAGAAGAGGCCAGTGGCAAACCACATCCCTACAGTTAACCAAGAAAACTGCAAAGTTCCCAGGAGTTGAGCTTGACTCAAGGAGACTACCTTACTTTCCTGTAAACAGAAATTCAGAGAGTTCCTGCACTTTTTCTTTTATTTTTGTTCTATTTCTTAATTTTTCTTTATATATTTTCACACTTAACTTTTACCTACGTTAAAATCTTTAATAAAAATTATATATATACACATACATATATAAACAAAAGAAATTCAGGGAGCATGCTTGGGAAGAAAATGGAACCCATGAACCAGATGTAAGCAAACTGAGAACACCTAATTCTGTAATGTTAAAGGAATTTGTAGTCTCACTGAGTAACTATTCACTTTTTTTTTTTTAATCACATACTTATGCACAAACGGGCCCAATAATAAGACACCCTCTGCACTGCCTCATTCCTTGATAATGACTTAATGTGGATTTCCCCACAAGGGGGAAAAAAAAAAAACTATTTGAAGCATAAATTTCTGAATGCAGAGCTGGGTTCCCCAGAGGGCAAACTATTACGCACGCACACACACATTTGATTCCAAGTTATATAATGAAAAGCCTAATATTCTGCATGCAGAATGGCCTGGTTCAGATATAACAACTGGGGACTAATAAACCAGGAAAAGGCAGATTTCAGATTGTTGAATCCACTTTGTTCTTTTCCTAGAATATCTACAGTAGGTAACTCCAGAGTCAGGCTCAAAAACATGCATTTAGAATTAAAAGTGCTCTGATCCCAGGAGTTTGTTTTAAAGAACCAGAACTTGAATGGCACTAACACCCCTTTAGGGAAAGAATTGTATTTTTCTTTATTTTAGCAGTTTAATTTATGGCACAGTGATGTTATCTTGCCATTATTGTGAAAATTTTTTAAAAACACACTTTATTATCTATTGGCTATCATACAGAAATATACCAGAAATTTCCAGTCTACTTTCTGCAATAAATTGTAACACATAAGCCATGGAACAAGTGTGTGTCTAGCCTGTTCCCTCTCCATCCCTCTTTTCATCTTCCTATTGGCTACGTCAGCTTTTTAAGTCATTGCTTCCTACAATGTCCACATTGTGAAGCTAGGTTATGGCATCTGTTCATATCAAGAAATTAAACTTTGAAATCCTAATGTAATTCTTGGTAATTTTTACATGGAATTGGACTGATGCCCTGTGGTCTATGCCTTACCTTTGCAGGTAGTAATGTGAATTTGAAAAACATTTCTTGAGATGTACAAAATTATACTTCTGGAAACTTAGTATAGTTTATAGTAGTACAGGTGTCAGTGATGATTTGGTCACTCCACAGTAACACATAAGTGTTCTTTCTAAAGGGTTAGGACATATATGGAATGCAATATCCATCATCTCTGATTATTAGCCATGCCAGCTAGGACTGACATAAACTGGAATTCAGTAACATCTGTAGGGTTCACCCCTATTCTACAATATAGGACTTGAAGTGGTTCTAGCTCCTCCACCCTGCAGATTTACTCCTCTTTTTACCCATCAAACTACCTCAGCATCCATCAGAAGGGAGCTCTGATTCAATCACCTTAATTATGAAACAGACAATTGGTTTTTCTCAGGCTGTTTTATTTGGAAATGGGCTCCAGATTAAAGAACAATGATTTTCTTTTTTGCACTTCCACCTACTTAGAAAAGGCAGAACTAGAGTAATTTTATAGAAATGTGTTTTTTTTTCCACGATAAAAAAGGTAATGCCAAAGAATTGCAGGAAATGTGTTTAAGTTATCTTTGCACATTTCAGAAGGAGGCCTTTAGAGAGGGCCCAACAGAGAAAAATCTGCAGAAGAATATCAGAATGAGAAAAGCCATGACTTCCGGAGACAATTATGCTAGTTGGAATGGGATCTGGCAAATCGCTCAGAACTGTGAAAAACCAGAGGCCTTTCATAATCACAACTTGCAGAGAAAGGGTTCTGATAGCAAGCTGTTACCCTGAATCTCAATAGCAAGCATAAGAGAATACAGCACAAGATGCATTTCCAATAAAATGCTCATCTCAAAGCAAACATCTTAGTAGTGTTTGTGAAAGAACTGGCTTAACACTAAGATCCTGAATCATAAAAATAGGGCCATTTCTTAGGATTTTCCCCCCATACAAACTCTTGTTCCTATTTTTCAGAGTGGGAATTGTTTAAGAAGATGGCATGAACAGCATTACCAGAACATCTGGTCACAAAGGCAAGTGGCAGCTGTATTCTCAACATACTTGTCCCTATTTTCAGTCTTAAAATGATGTCAAAGCACACCTGTCTCTCACCATCAAGAACTCAGAGGAAGAAGGTACAACTAGAGTCTGCCCTTTCCTAAATGGCTCCCAGGGGGACACTGGGGGACTAAAGGCCGGGAACAAAATATGCAGCCGCAACACTGCACGAGAATGGCAGGCTTTGAACTGGATGCTTTGAATTCAGAACTGAAGGAACAGCATCAAAATTTAATTTCTCATCAAAGTTCAAACAGCTGTTTGAGGATCTTATCTATTGAAAAGGGTTGACAATCCTTGGCACTTACGCTTTTTCCTTTACAAAATGCACAACACCTGAACTCCATGAACCAAAGAAACTCTGTGTTATGGAACTTCAGTTATCAGGCAAAATATTTAAGAAATCAAGTACAAATTGTTTTAAGAAGCTGCAGTTGCTTACCTGCATTGGGTTAATCTCTACGGAATGCTCAAAGCATTCTATGCATTCTCTAAAATTCCGGTTGCGAAGGTGAAGGAGGCCCTTTGAACGCTGAGCCCTGGCACTGCGGTGATTGGACAATTCCCAAGCTTTGTCATAATACGAATGGTCTTTAAGAACATCTCCAAGCAGGCAATATAGTCCTACTGTTTCTTTCTTCTCTAGCTCCTGCCTCAAAATTTCTTCTGCCTATGGGGAAAAAGAAAACAGGGAAAGGAAGAAGAAATGGAAGGGGGAAACCAGAGTCCAGACACTGCTAACATTCTATTGGCCACAAATGTAATTTGTTTCAATTTTCTCCAGGATCCTAGGCTAAAAATGCCAGAAATTGACATTCTCCATCAGGCTGTTCTCTGTAGACAGATAGTGCTTATCTTCACCCCTCCCCAGCATCCATCTGAGGTTGTTGAGGCTCTTTAGCAATCTCTCTCTCCACTCTGAAGTCACTACTCAAAGCCCAACCAAGCACTGAACTGTTGTTGCAGATAAAATGACTTTACAGGAGCCTAAGTAGGAGGAATTGGGGCAGCTGCCAGATTCCTCTCCTACTTTTCTCACCTACAAATTTGGTTGACACCAGCACTGAAAAGGCAGCCTGGTTCTAGCCCCACGACTTACTCCTGCAGGCAAAGAGGCTCCAGCAATGCTGGCCAATGAGAGGACTGTATTGAAGGCTCCTTGCCCAGAGAAAAGTGAAGTCTAGGGAAGAGGCTACATGCTAATCAACATGCTATATGAATGCATATAATGCCAATTAATTTTTAATTCTTTTGAATATATAAAACAAAATGTCAAACAAAAGCAATATAAAAATATTCCAGGCTTTTTACTCTTTGGGCTGTATCTCCTTGTGTCTATCCTTGTTTAAGTATCTTCCAGAAGCAGCAGCAATGTGGGATACTTTCAATTATTTGCCTTCCTCTCTGCTATCAGGGTATTGACAGTATTTCATATTAGCTTTGAATTCAGGGTAGTATCTGTAACTGCTAGACTTTATCTTAGTCATACTGTCCCTTAACAAGCTGGTTTCAGAAATGGGCTGGCCCTGAAACACCTTTTGCAACCAAGACAACTACGGAAAAAAAGCAAGAAGAGAATGGGATGCAAAACCTAGAAGACAAACGCAAGGATTATTAAATCAAACATGAACACTGCACAATCTGCACCAAACCTTCTTGTCAGGAAGAACGATTAAGCTTTGCAATAGTTTTCTAAAGAAGGAAAGAAACAAACAAATAAACCCCAGCATGCTAATAGTGTGAGGAATTTAAAAACCTAGGCAAATCTTTATTTTCTTGTTTTCTCTCCTGCTTCAGAGCCATAGTCTGCGCCGTGAATAAACATCTCAGAGGTAAAAAGTGCACTGGGAGCTGCTCCTTTACCCCATCTTTGCAAAACACTCTCAAATTTAGGTCATTGTATTTTAGAAGAGCCAGCCAACACAATAACATGTTATGTTCAGATTCACAAAACTACATTTTCTAAGCTGACCTGGACTAAAACTGCAGTGAATTCATTACCAATGCCAAAGGAAAATAGGACGTAGCTTGGCGGTACAGCAAACACGCATTTCGAAAATGTCATCTTCTGTCCTGGCATTGCCAAGGAGAAGGTGATGAAAGCCAGACTGAGCCCAACCAAAAAGAAGAGGGAATTTGCAAGACTATTCGGCAAGAGAAGCAGCCATTCTCTGGTAACACATTTGTTCAGTACAGTCCAGGCACACATTCTCAGGTGGCTCAAGACCTTGTCTAACATGACCTGCTGATTGATATAAAAGAGGTAACTAAGCAGATAGGAAGATACAACTCTTTCTATATACATTTTAATTTGGATGGCACTAATTCAGCAGTTCAGCAGCTTCTCACCCATTTCCCTCAGCTTGCGACCCTCTTCTCTTCCCTAATGGATAGGTCAATGCTGCTTGTAACATACAACCAAGAAGATGTGGTCACCTAAAATCATTAGGACCCTGCAACACTAACTCATGCCCTTATCACCACTTACCTGGACTAGTAGAATGTGTTCTACATGGGGCTGCCTTTGAAAACCATTTAGGAACTTCAACTGCAGCAGTACGGTTATCAGTAGGTACACAACAACATGCCTATATTATATCTGTGCTTCGGGCTCTTCACTGGCTCCCTATTAGCATCCAAGAGCAATTCGAAGTGCTGCTTTTGACCTTTAAAGCCCCACATGGCTTGGTGCTAGAATACTTGCAGACTTACACCTTCTCCCCCCAGTTTTGATTTGCTCGACTTGGACATATGTTGAGAACCTACTTATGACACCCCCCTCCCCACTCATGCACACTTCTGTGGGGTAAGGGGCTTATAGGCACATATTTTATATGGGTGCACCTATACTTTGGAACAGACTCCCTAGAAATTCAGTCTGCTCCCAGTCTATTGGATTTGTACAACCTATTAAAAACAGTTGCTTTAAGTGACCTTGGGGGGATGGATTGACAGCATTAGACTGACTGATTATTGTGTTGCTTTTGACTGCTTTGTATATGCTTTTACCATGAATGTTTTATTGTGTTTTTATTGATGTATGTCAACTGCTGTGAGTCTTTTTGACTGTGGCAGAGTACAAATCAAACCAATCAGTTGAAAAATAACTGTTGTGAACATGCTTAAACGATTTTCGCAACTGCTTAGCAGTTTGCAATTATTTTTTTCTTGAGAATACCAGTTTAAAATATTGCTGATAGAAACTCTCCTGGAATAGAAGATCTAGATTTAAAAGACAAAAAGCTGTGGTCAAATAAAGTTGTAACTCTTTTTGTAGCATTGTGATCATCTAAACATTTCAACCAAACATTGGAATTGAGTACTCACTTTAATTAACAGATCTCAGGGTTATCATTTATAGTAGTTTACATGCTTTAAAACTGTAGTTCCCAAAAACAATTGACCTGCAAGGTGCTTTTTATTTTCTGACCAGTGCAAAATGTGAAAAAATTACATTTCTCTTCAAAGAATGATAGCAACTATCCAGTTTTTTTTTAAAAAAGATGGCCTTAAAGTCCTAATCATAAAAGATGAACTTAAAACAGAAACTCTTCATTCAAAAAAGCTCTTCTGTCAAAGTATAAATTAAATGGCTCTCCAGCTTTTACATAAAGTGGTCCCATTGTGTTTTGCAAATAAAAATGTTGTTTTCAATATTCAAAGGTCTTATTAGTTCATACCTTTAATCAGAATTAGTTGACACATTTTCAAAACCTGCATAAGGAGCAATTATTAAACATTTTTATCTAGATGCCTTCTTTATTCAGTCTTCAGTTTTTTTCTATTTCTTGGCAGTACATATTGAATTTATCCAAACAGTAATGAATTCCTAGCAAATGGGAACTGAGTGTTGCAGAACACCAAAACAACTCAAAACCTGCATAAGGAGCAATTATTAAACATTTTTATCTAGATGCCTTCTTTATTCAGTCTTCAGTTTTTTTCTATTTCTTGGCAGTACATATTGAATTTATCCAAACAGTAATGAATTCCTAGCAAATGGGAAATGTTGGCCTTAATGTTGACAAGATTCTCATGTTGGTATTTCAACCCTTTGACAAACTTTTTGATGAAAGAACACCATCATTTTGCATTGACAAGAATTTTCTGGTTCATAATTACCATATTTAGGAATTGCAAATATTGGCCACAGTATGTTAGGCAGGCTTACGTGGCTGTCAATAAGTATGTTCTTAGAATCAACAAGAATCACCTGATGTCTGAAATATGAAAATGTACACTTTGTTGCTCCACATGCCTAGCTGCTTGGAAAGCAAATTACGTGGATATAGATGACACTGGATAGTTGCCTATAACATCCTGTCTGGTTTTCAAACAGGCTACAGTTCCTGCATTTGGGGATTGTTGGGATGGGTGTGTGTGTGTACTTTTTTGTAACGTTTTAAAGATCACAGAATCCACATTTGTTGTTTTGGTGTTCTGCAACACTCAGGACTTTACATCCTAAATATTTTGTTAATTTCCCACCTGGCACAGTGTAAAGACTAGCTGGTTGGTAAATGAAGCTGGAGGAAGTACTGTGTCTAGCAGCCCACACTAAACATTTGAAACTGGTTTTGAGATTACTGTGGTGGCAATAGCATGGTCTAACTCTGACCAAATACCTTGGATAACATGGAACACTCAGCCATAGCACTGTCTAGAAACGGAATCTGAATCAGCAGTCCACTGGGAGCAACTGGACTGGAGCATTTTTCATACCCAGACTGTCTAAGCACTTTTAAGGATGTAGCATAGCTGAAATTACTATAGATTAATCTTAATGCCAGCCTCCTTCACATATCCTGACAATGGCTATAATATTCAGTGTTGGTGAGAAGTTGCAGTTATCAGTTATCATGATCTTAGAACTATGATGCATTTTAACCATCTAATTCTGGGTATGCCCCTAACATGTGATACCCTATCAAAACATACAGATTGCTGAGGGGACACTCTAATTACCAAAGATAACCAAAATAAAAGTACAGAATTAAGTGGAAAACAAGGGAAATATCAGAGAAAAGCAGCATGCTGACACCTGCAAACTAATCTAGAAATGATTTACCAAAAAAACAAAAAAAATATCAAATTACCTTGAGGAATTATATCAGAATATTCACGTAGTTCTCCCTTCTCCCTTAGCTCTCCATTTCTTTGCCTTGACCCAGAGAATCACAGAGCTAGATGGGGCCAATTAGGTGACTGAGTCCAGCACCTTCCTCAGTGCCGCAATTTGATTTAAAGCAACCCTGAGAGATAGCCGTCTAGCTTCTGAACAAAGGAGCAAAGATGAACCTGCTACCTCTCTTGAACTGCTTCTACATTAGGAAACTATTCCTGATCCTCCCCGGAACCTATTTTCCTGTAACCTATTCTCTGTTCTGCATTCTGGAACAACAGAGGACAGGCCTTGGCTTTATTCTGTGAGACTCCCTGCCCTGCCCCAAAACTTGACATGGGTTACCACATTATCCCCTCAGATGTCTTTTCTCAGTTCCTCCAAACTGTCCTGTAAAACTGTACAACAGCCAGTTTGGTCTAGTGGTTCAGGCACCAGGCTAGAAACCAGGAGACTGTGAATTCTAGTCCTGCCTTAGACATGAAAGCCGGCTGGATGACTTTGGGCCAGGCACTCTCTCTCAGCCCAACTCACCTCACAGGGATGTTGTTGTGGGGAAAGCACGAGGAGGAAGAAGTATTAGGTATGTTCACCACCTTGAGTCATTTATAAAAATAATAAACATGGGATAAAAAAATCTAAAAAAAAACTTAGTTTCCAGTGTCCTAACCTAACTGTTGTCCTTCGTTGTATCCATCTGAGTCCTTAAAGACTGGTGTTCAGAACTAGATTAAGATTTGTCAGAGAGAAATGACAAATTGTCAATTGACAGTGAGGTGGAGGCTGACCAATGCAGGAAAGAAGAGAATATTTCACTGGGCCTGTGAGAGAAGTGAAGCAGGTGCACATACATACATACAAAGAAAACAGCCTTCAAAGCCACCATGTTGGCCTTCCAAACAACATAGTACCTTTAATGCTCTGTGAAGGAGTGGTTTGCTCATACTGGCATGATTTGTGGAGTGCCCCTTTTATACTTTGCTCAGCACTGGTCTGAAGCTTCCCAGATCCTCCTTTTTTCTCTCTGACAAAGGCAACATTAGTCCTCCTCTAGCCATCTGGTACTTCATTATCTAGGATTTTTCAAAGGCAGTGAGTAGAAGTTTGGCCAAACCATTAACAAGTTTCTTCAGTAACCTAGGAGGGGAACCCCCTTTTCCTGGAGATATGAACCTTGACTATGTTGACATTAGGATACTGCTTCTTCAATCTGCTCTTAAATTTGCTTGATGGAATCCCTTTAGAGAAGACTGAGACAAAATAGGACTTGAGTAGTTCTACTTTTTCTCTGTAATTTATTACCATCTTCAAATGTTCACTGAGCAGATGATGTAGTGTTTCTTTTCTTTTTCTTAGATTTGAACATACCTGAAGAAAGCAGTTTTGTTCTTAGCATTCCTTGCTAACCTGAGCAAATTCAGAGCTTCAGCATTTCTAATATCCTATCTACAAATCTAGCCCTTCCACAATTTTCCTTGACAACTTCTCCCTTTTTCAATCTCCTATATACATCCTTTCTGATCTTCAGGCTTTCATTAAGCTTTTTATGCACACTCGTTAGCTTCATTTGCTTCCAGCCCCACTTTGCTTTTAGTGTCTTCTTTTTTAGGAACGCCCACCCAATTTGTGCTCCTTTTCTCACTAATGTCTCCTGCCATGGAATCGTACTTATCACTGAGTTAATTTTTTTTCTTGAAGTCTAAGGTAAACATGTGGCTACACTCAGCTTTAGTTTCCCTTAAAATCAAGAGATGTAATTTAAAAATGCCTGTCCTCATCTCTCTCTCCCCCCACTCCCTTCATTTCCTTTGATCATCTCCTCTTTTGTCTTAAAAGCTACTGCGTTATTCTTTGTGTAAGTAACATATGCAATTCTGGATAGTTTTGAAGTGGTAGAATGTTGATGGCAACAACCACATATATGTACAAAAGGTACACCATGTAAAAAACACAACAACAATAATCAGAGTGGAAGTACTTTACCTTCCCATGCTGGCCTGCTCTTTCATAACAGATAACAGCATCTTCCCACATTTCAAGCTTCTTGAAGAGCTGCAGAGCTGAAGTAGTACATCCAAGGTCAAAGAGTAAGCTTGCAAGCTGACGCTTTAAAGTAGAATATTGAAAAATTCAAGTTATGCATTTTTCCCTAGAACAACATTTAGCAGTGCTGATATGGATTAAGATTATAAAATAATTTAAAATGTCTCAAGACAGCTCTCAAAGGCATGGAAACTAACTTCCTTCCTTCCTTCCTTCCTTCCTTCCTTCCTTCCTTCCTTCCTTCCTTCCTTCCTTCCTTCCTTTCTCCTAATATATTACTTCTAAGGAAATCATCTAGAAAAATCTATTAATTTTGCACTTGTAATTTCTCAAAATTAAAATGAGTAGAGATTGGCTATGGATTTTACAAACTTTATTCACTCAGAACTACTCTATACATGGAAGTAGTAGCTTTGCCTTTGGACCATTTCCAGATACTAGAACAGAAAGAAGAAACCAGGATGTGCACACAAATAACCAACAATAATACCCACTGATGCTGGCCAATATTGACGTTATCTATCTAGAGTCTGGGTCACACTGACATTCCTTGATACAGTCCTTTACTCAGAGACAATTAGGAAGGCTAACTGGGGATAGACGGAAGAAAGTCTGGCCAGCTTATGTGTGTAAACCAGATATCAGTTAATGAAACAATTGAAATGAAATCCTGGACAATACATTGTAGGAAATTAATTCCAAGTTTATGCAACAGTGACTCCATCTCAATATCCAAAATAGTTAAAAGTAAAGGAAATCTGATTGACAGGGAAATTAAAACAAGAGAGTAGGTAGGATATACGCTCATGGTGCACTTTGTTTTTACAACTACAAAATATGCTTTTAAAGAAACATAATAACAAGTAAAGATTTACATCAGTCTTCCCCTAACATACGCTTCAGATGTGCCGAGATGATAGAGCCAATATATTTAGAGAAGGCTGATTTACTCAATTGCTGATTGCTGGAAAGCAAGATTCCATCAATACCATTCAGGCATGATGAGAATGACGAATATCTACTACATGAGCAATCCTGATAAGCCCACCTCTCACCAATGTCACTCAAATGGCATCAATTAGCTACAGTCACCCACACATTCTGGGCAAAATGCCGCAGGAGACAAATTTCACCAGTGTGACCATATGCGTGCTGGCTTCAGTGCTACCCAGGAGGCTGGATACCTCAATCCAAAACCGAATACAGCCGAAATTGATCTAGCTGCTGAATACACTAGAATTCATCTCCTGTGGGAAAACCGTTGCCAAGTTTTCCCACAGTAACCTCTAGTTATTTGAAACAGATTAGTACTGAAGCATCTTAAGAATCTCCCTAGAGTCTTAAATGCTTTTTAAATGCCAAATCTTTCCATTCTAACGTAATCAACTTTCATCATTTACCATCTAATAAACCAAGTCTCATTATATTACTGATTCATTGGCCATGAGAAACCTGAAATTTCAAGAGTTACCTCTCCAAAGTATTTAACATTCTCTCTCTTTTGTTGAGCTATGGGTTAGTTAGTACCCATCTGAAAATCATCCTCCATGGACTAGTGGAAAAGAAAAAGTGCACACTGACACTAGCCTATAAAAAGGTCCCTTTCTCCCAAAGTCCTTACGCTTCTTTTCCCTCTTACAACTCTCTCTATGGGGCCTTGATTTCACTTTCTGAGCCTGCCCTTGCACCTCTAAGGTTCATTTATTCTTAGACTTGTACCTTTTTTCTCCAAAAACCAGAGAGAACACAAAAAAGAGATATGAGTTTTCTGGAAATTTCTGAATGAGAAAATGCAAATGAGTATGATTCAAATTAGCATATTTGCCTCAGTATTCATAGTCTGTGCAAATATTGGGGCTATATTATTTAATGTGAAAAAAATTAAATCTAACCTATTTTGTGACATAATTTGTGATATATAAAATTGTGATATATTGTGATATGTTCAAGAAACTAAAAATTTTGATGTGTAGTAAAACAACATTTAAAACAATGTTGGGCAATATGTAATAAAATAATAGTCATCTTCAATGAGCATTTAGCTTCTCAATTTTTTTGGACAAATACCTGGAAAGCAAGCAACTTTGAAACTACCAGGTCTGCCTGAAATGGAATTTTTTCAACAAAAATGTGGAGCCCATAAAATTTTCAAGATCCAATCTCTCACAGCAATAGTTAACTTTTCTTTCTTTTTCAACATCATCCTGCAACATCTTCTTCCCTTCCTCTTTTCCTTCTCTCTCTCTCCCCAAAGCTCAGATTATCTTGCACAATTACACCCTGCCCCCCTAAAAAAACCTTTAATCTCTATCCTTCTAACTCTCTTTTCTACTGGGAGATGACTGCATACAATACAATTAAACCGTTTAATTTTATTTGCTTAATAAATACTTCAGTTTTAAAATGGGTATTTTTTCTCTGCAGGGCTTTTTGGAGACTTTATATAGTACAGGTATTCCTCTACCCTGACTTTCCCTGCTTTGCTAGCCCCTTCCCTCATTTTTGTTTACGCTTGGTGACTAAATGGACACTGTTGTTTTGGAAATGATGCAGAAGTGATTTGACATTGTCTTCTTTCAGGGTGTTTTTTCAACTTCTCAATCTAGCTTTAAGTCTGGGGGTTTCATCTCAGTGAGGTACTAACCGGATTCAAGTGTGATTAGCTTTTTTGAAATCAGCCAAATTTGACTAGGGGCTGCCACCAGCTATGACTTCACTGCACCCTTCGCCCCTCCCCCAACACACAGGTGCACACACACACACACACACAAAATCTTTTCTGGAGAAGAAATCTATACCAAAAATATATAGCTCAACTGGATATTACTCAGAGATTTCAAGGCATGCTAAAAGTCTGAGGAGGAAGTAACATTTTATTCAGGCCTGTAAAACAACAACAAAATGAATTGCCTTCCAAATGAAAGGGGCCACATTTCATGGTGAATGCTACAGAAATCAATGACATCTCTAAATGTAGTTTTCCTCGCTAGCTATATAGTCTAGCCTGTGCTGCCAGAGTGCAGAATTTCCATCTGTTTGAGGGCCATGCCAGCTCTCAGCTACACATCCAAGACTAAAATCCAAAGCAGACTGGACACAGAACAATTTGTGTGCTTTTGTGGGTGGGGTGGGGATTTAGAGAACTAAAGAAGTGAATTGGGGCTGGATAATTCTCTTCAGTTTCCAAAGCTTTTAGCTCCCCCCATCAGGGTAACGACTGGAGGACAAGCAGGGATGCTAGCTGAAGAAGAGACAATTTAAATTAAAATAGAGCTTCCAAGCAAGCTGACCGTTTTCACTTCAATTATTCCCAGCTGCTCTGTTTTAGTACATGCATGACACCTAGAAACAATATAGTTGATCCAGGATTTACCCAAGATCAAGGAAAAACAATGGGCTGGCAAGTAGGAAACAGGCAAACTGACAAGACAGACTTTCTGGTGACAAAAGAAACACCAAGATGAGTAAGATGATGGGATCACAGCCAAGAAGCCCTAATAGATGCTGCTGACAAGCTCTTTGCTGGTCCTTTCCTGTTTTCTTTTCCTTTGGTTTCTGGGATGTGACAAGAAGAGACAGAGGAGAACCTGCATACCAAGGTCAGGATGAGAAGACATGATCCTCCACAGCAGCAAATCATATTTATTATTTATCTGTAACAGTTTTCAAGGGTAAGTATGAGAAAAATATATGTGAGGGCTGTGCTACTTAAGACAGCACTTCAACCACCGTGAATAATAAATCACCAATAGAGCTCACAAAATTGGTTTGCCTTGGGGGAAAAAAAAAAGTGAAAACCACATTGGGTTTTGTGAACTGGAAAGATTTCTGAAAGATTTTAAAACAAAAAGAATGCAAAAATGGTTTCTCCTGCGTCAAAGAAAGACAAATGGATTGGAAAAATTAAGGTCAAATTTCAAGGAAATCTCTTGGCAACTAACCAAGATTTGACCAATTACATTTATAATTGTATGTGTGGTGACATTTGGTAATGTTGTTAATGCACAGTTTAAAAGCACTGCCAGCTGAGACGTATTGTAAAACAGAAGCCTACTATTTTACATAGTAAGTCAGGTAAGTAGCTTTGCTATAGTAGTTCATATAAAAATACTACAGGAGAAATTTTTCCATCTCAAATTTCATGCTTCATAAAATGACATCTACAAATCAAAAGCCTTAGGACAGCAATTTTATACCTGAACGGCCCAGTGTGGAGGAACTTGGCAACTGTAAAAAATCTTCATACGTTCACAAATGGATGTTGTCTTCTCTTCAAATTGATCTGCAAGCGCCTGAAAATCCAATACATTTACATATGTAATGAAATATAAGATTTTGTTTAATAGCATCTAAGAATCTGCCTAATACAGCAACTGGACAAAATAGCATTACCCACTTAAAGATACTTATTTAGCAAGCTTAAACACATCAAACAGTGTTTCCAAGCAAGTATAAGAGGTACTAGACAACCCCTGACTCGTTGGGTCATGTTCTTTCCACATATAATATAGGCTGGAACCATTTTCCCTCCCCTCATGACCCTCAGCAGAGCCCCGGTGAATCCTCCTCCTCCTCGGCTGACCAGGGAACTGTGTGTGACTTTGCTAGGGGGATGGGGAACAAAGGGAGTTGTGAACTGCAAGGAAAACTGACCCCCGTTCCCCATCCTGACATGTCAAGGGCCCCCTGCCTTGAGGGAGGCAGAAGGCTCACCTCTTGACTGCTGGTGCCCCTCCAACCAGCCCTACCTCACCAGCAGGCATCCAAGTCACTCCCTCATCCTTCCCTTACTGCCCACTGCCGTTAAGAGATTTCAGTTGTCGGCCTTGGTTCTAAAGCAGCCAATTGTCACTTACCCATTGGGCCTTGCTGCCAGCCAATTGGGCAAAGGGGCCAGAGGGAGGCGGGAAAGAGCGTGGGGATATGCCCCTCCCATCTTCCCTTGCGCCATGCAACCTATGGGTTTCTGGGAAGTATAGTCATAAATCATGATCATGTGACCGCAGCTAACCACAGTGACTCTGCAGCGGCCACAACTTTGCAAATAGAACTGGTGTGAAGATCCTTGAAATTTTAATTCCACAGGAGTCATGGGTCCTAGATTTTGGATGCATTCTTTAAGTTACCCCATTTGAGGTACCTTGCTTCAAAAATTGTTGCTCTACGATGCACCATTTTGGCTAACTGAAGGTTACAAACAGAGAGGAGAGTTTTAGTAGTATATAGATAAGATGCCACTGTAAATGTCAAAATCCCCAAAAGCCTATGAAATAATGGAGCATTTCACACACAGGGAGCTAAGTGGCACATGCATCTTTTTTGTGCACTATAAAAGGAGATGAGAGAAACTGGAGCCTCTGTAATTGTCCATGTTAACACCATCATGGATAAATTTTATACTTAAAGGTATCAGTCACTGAAGAAAATTCTATTTACAAGTATTCATTTTTTATAAATGGAAATTAGATACTGATAGTTTAATTCAATGAAGTAGTGGCAGGCTTCTTGTATCCCTCAAATATTTTGGACTTTACTGTCTACTAGACTTAAGCAGCATGGGCAACATGAAGTGGCTGTGGAGCCATGATATAAAATTCTGAAAAGCATCATGTTAGCTGATTTATTTTAAAAACAGTGTTACCCAACCCCAAATCCTTTCCTGATACGTTCGACTATAATTCCTAATGCCTCATTTCAAGCTGATGGAAGCTATAACTCAACATATATTTAAGGCATCCGGGTGTGGTGGTCTAGTCTAGCAAATATAGATCAAGGATAATTTCTAGTTGATGATGTATATAAATCAATCAAATAATAAATAATAGTGATGCATTTTAACAGGCTGTCTTTTATCCTAAGGATATTAGTGATCATTCCTGCTGAAGAGCAGTACTGTGAAACCATGCTGATAAATTGTTTTAGTGAAAGCATTTCTCATCTTGTTAAGTTTATCATCTGAAAATTATCCTTCTGTGCTCATGTTAGTATGTAATACATCAACTATTATAGCCTTTCCCAACCTGACACCACCAGATGTATTTGCTGGAAGTTATGGGAGTTGTAGTCCAATACATCTTACGGACATTAAGAAGACTGCATTAATACATTCAGCATCAGTGGAAATTACACCTAACTATACTAGAATCCCACATGGAGAGTACAGTGTTTTTAGTGCACCTTAAGTATCTATACACACATCTTGGATTCTGTCCAAAGTTTTATCAACAGAAGACTCTCTCTGCAACAAAGCTTTCCTACCCCCTTCTCTTATTTGCAAACCCTCACAAAGATTTTCCTGGGGATCCAGGAGAGATGCTTAGTGGAAGAACACATACTTGCATATAAAAACATTTCAGGTTCAATCCGCTTCATATCCCACTTGAGACTAAGGAAAGCTGCAGTCTATACACACACACACACACACACACACACACACAATATTGAATAAGATGGGTCAGTTTTCTGACTCAGCCTAAGGCAATGTCCTATGGCTGTATGAGGGAAAACTGGAGAAAAACAGGCAGGAGTACTTAGAGATTCCTGATCTTTAATAAAATTGTGGAATCCACAGTTAAATTTCCTCAAGGAAACCGGATAGAATTTTAAATTTAAATGATCCTCTTGCCCCACATGATGCTACTGTTTGAAATACAACAAACCTAAAATTCTCTTAAGTTTCCTTGAACTAGTTTTCAACAGTGTTCCCCAACCTGGGGATTTAAACAGAGGAAATTTTGCTCAACTAAATGCTGTATTCCAAAGAAGAAACAAAGAGTTACAGCTACATAAATAATTCAAAGAAACCGAGGATAACAATTGAATGGGAAGGGCAAAAGATTTATTTAATGACAGAATAAATGACGGAAATCAAAGGAAGCTTTTGTGCAAACATGGGTAAAAATAAATGATAAAGAAGGTAAAGACCAGTTGGAGAATGATATAAAGAAGGGATGACACAAATATATGGAAGAACTGTAGAAAAAAGATACCCAAATTGATGATACATGAAAAGGTTTCATCACTGAACTAGGACCAGATATTCTAGAAATTGAAGTTAAATGGCCCCTAGAAAATGTTGCTAACAACTAAGCTGCAGGAGTTGATGAAATACCAGCAGAACTTTTTTTCAGACCTCTATTAAGATTTATTAGGAAGAAGTTTGAGGTAACAGTAGAAGTATTCCACCAAGTACTGTATTTTCCAATGAGAAAACTATATATAGGCATATTAAGGCAGCAAGATTCTGGTTTTTCTCAAGCTCTTTTACAATAAAGTGGGGGAAGCTTGTTCCTTTTGTGAAGGTGGGGAAGTCTACACCTGCTGTTTTGAAAACTTCTAGTAGACTTCTTATTGAGAACCACCTCTCACAGGTATTCACTTACAATGTTCGGGTCCTGCTTTTGGGGCATTCTTCTTCCAGATATATTTCAACATCTTTCTATATTGAAATTAAACAAACCTGAAGTCTGTCTTTTGCCCCAGATTTATCATCTCTCTCACTCTCAATGTTCCCCTTCATAAGCAACTGTTATGCAAAGACACATATAAAGTAAAGGGGACAGTTCTGCTTTTAGGTTGTAAAGCAAGAAGCTGTCATTAAAATGGTGTATCTAATTACCAGCTCTCTAACAGTTTTAGATAGGTTTATACTTGGCAGCAAGTTTGAATATTGTCCCACAATTTAAGCACTCAATAAATTTCCTTGGATACAGACAGCTTAATTATCCAGCTCTTTGAATAAAAATTTGCTCTTGATAACTAGAAACAGCTTTCTGAAACTAACTCTATAGCAGAAGATGAACTATTGCACAAAAAAAAACCAACCCTGTTTTTCCCCAAAGTAAGGGGCAACTGTATTCTGCTTTGCCTGAAATAATAAATTACAATATATGCAAGCAAAAAAAGATTAAAGGCCAGCCTGATGTATGTGAGCGTAATGGACCAGAATGGCTTCTGCAGATACAGATGAAATACTTCCAAGAGTGTTCTCGGACAACAACCTTAGCACAGATAAATATATCAGCAATCTGAGAATAACACTACCTTGCAGATGGCTAGACTGCAAGTTTCTAACAAATCCCAATGAATTCAAAGTACGGCTGAATCTGTGCCTGGAAAGTGGAGCTTCATATCCCATATTGGCTAAAGACTTCTAATTTGAATGCAATGCAAACACTATCAAGGGTACACAGATTAGCAATAGAGAATATTAAACAGTAAACTGGCAATAACAAAAAAGTGTCAGAATGACTGGCTGGAGAATGAAGTCCTTCAGTCATACACATAAAGGGCACAGAAGAAGATACACATTTTTTCCTATGCCTATCAATACAATAAATCAATTCTATTCTGAGCAAAGCTACATACATTTAGTTTCTGTGATCACTAAACATTTGTACTGCATGGAGAGGCTCCAAAAATGTACAATACTATGGAGCTTAAGGGAATATTGCTTTCCCATCCCCAACTCCACCTGCAGTTTTGAAAACTTCCAGTAGGCTTGTTATTGAGAACTACATTCAGAAATGATCTTTCTTTCCTATTTCTTCAACCAATTTCTCCTAGTAAAAGCTATATAAGAACTGTGATCAGCTTTGGCTTCTTCCTTTCTCTGAATAAGCCAGAAGGTTTTGCCAGAAGGCCTTGTGGAACAGTAGGGATAGAGCATGTTGAAGCATGAGGCACAGATCTTTCAGAAGTCAACCACTTGATCAAGAAGCATGCCTTGTTTAAAAACACTGTAGTGGTAGAAAGAAAAAGTATACTGGAATCCTCTTCCATGTGCACAGAATGAAAAAGCACACCCTACAGTATATGAATGGGGGTCAAACTATATGCAAGTGAACAGCAGTAGTCACATCAGTCATGGTATGGAAAGTTATCAAGACATTTATGGAAAATCTTAAAGGAACAAAAGAGAATGTTGATTAACTTTCCAGTTCAAGAAACCCTACATTCCTCAGTATTAATCACATAGTAAGCTGCATATGATACTTTATTTGGTATAATGTCGGTTGATGTCAACACTGTTCACATTTTAAAAGTAACAGATTCCTGAGGTCTGAAGGAAACATTTAGCCTAAGTTGTTAACCTCAGAGGTCTTCTAATCAAGACTGTCAGGAAAAAGACAAAATCATGCTTTCAAAAATTTACTGGAGGCCAAAATATTGACATTATCTGGCTCTCCCCCACTGAAACAGAACAAGAATATGATAATAGAGAGGATGCAAGAACACAATGCTATTTTGCTAATGGGCGGGATTTAATTATTGGCTAATAGTAAGTGGATAA